TTCAATTATAAATTTGATAACTTTTAAATAATAGGTGGTCTGATTAAATGGTATTTGAAATTTTAGTTTGAGTGAAACGACATGCACAAATTGCAAACTGAATATGTTTGTTTGTTTAATTATTATAAATGCTTTGTGGATATAAATGATGGTTTGTTGTAACATATTGTTTATTTCTAGTAGCATTTAGTGCTTCGGCTTTAATAAATATTTTAATCGAAATTCATAATTGGTTTTCTTTACCAGAATCGTAATTTTCTTCCAAGAACTCTTGGAAATTTCTAAGTTAAGATTCTTAATTTAAATACAAACATTATTGAGTGTGTTAAATGTAAATGCAGATATGGACATACAATTCACCAAAAAACCCTTTTTTTTTACTATATCTTGCTTTCAGTTAGTCAGTACCAATGTCTCTGAACTAAAAGTCTTTTTTTTTTATATAAGTAGTATTTTGTTTGGTCTCTTGACTTTGAAACTAAAAGATATTTTGTATTTATCAAATATCACTCATCAGATGTTAAAACCATTAGTTGAAAAAATGAGATGTGACCAAATGACGTGGGTGAAATCAACTATAGGTTAGTCACCCTACGGTCTTCCACAATGAGCATACCGCAATATACACTATCAAATGCCCCGACATTACAAAAAGGTAAAACAATCCAAACAAGAAAACCAACGGCCTGATTAACGATAAAACAATAATCGAAATGAAAATATTACTTGAGTCAGATATCAGTAGATAGAAATAAGAAGATGTGGTATGAGTGCCAATGAGACAACTCTCCATCCAAGTCACAATGTGTAAAAAGTAAACAATTATAGGTCAAAGTACGGCATTCAACACGGAGCCTTATATTCAGTACATATATTCAAACATATTTAATTTAGTCTTACAGTTTAGCTATAGGTCTGTAAACTTCCTGTATTCAAGATTGAATATACGAAAATATCAAAACAACCTATTTGTTTTAAAATTGTTTTGTCATATCGGGGCCTTTTACGGCAATAGGGATTTATAGCTTTACCCGAAAAGGTGTTTTGCTACCGGATGTAGTTGTGAGTAAATTCATCTCACCTGTCATACAAGTGGGAGGATTAGCTAACTATAAAACCAGGTTTAAGCCACCTTCTTTTATCTTCGGAAAATGCCTGAAACCAAGTCAGGAATATGACAGTTGTTTTCTGTTTGTTCCATTGGTTGATTACGTTTTATTTTGTCAGTTTTTATAGACTTTTCCTTTTTGAATATACCTTGGAGATCGGTATTTTTGCCATACTTTTTGGGTGACGTTGTTGCCCATACCACAGCTATGTGCAAAATTGCCATCTTATTTAAAATATGAGTATTTTTTTTTACTTGTTTGAGACGTAACTGCAGCATCATAGATGGTTTAACTTTACTAAAAGAGGGACAAAAGATACCAGAGGGACAGTCAAACTTATAGATATAAAACAAACTGACAACGCCATGGCCAAAAATAAAAAGACAAACAGACAAATAATAGTACAGATGACACAACATAGAAAACTAAAGACTAAGCAACACAAACCCCACCAAAAACTGGGGGTGATCTCAGGTGCTCCGGAAGGGTAAGCAGATCCTGCTCCACATGTGGCACCCGTCGTGTTGCTTATGTTATTACAAATTCGGTAAATAGTCGAATTCGGTAGGTCACATTCGTGAAAAAGGAAGGGTATTGTAGTTACGACATAAGGAACATATCCGATATCATATACTAAAGTGACCAGTATAGATGAGTTTCGCCTTTATTTTAGCAAACGTTCAATAATATGTTATTGATTGATGTAAACTAATAGCATAAAAACTGAATTCACGCTGTTTAGCATCCAAGAAATGACTTACAAAAACATGACTTTGCTTTAATCATTTATCCGCTAATTCTTTAAATGCAACTGAACACATTTCTAAATTATTAAAATTTTATTCGATCTTAAAATCAATAAATCTGAAGCGGTGTTGTTCGGGTATTAAGTAAGGCATTTTGATGTGGAGTAAAATTATTCTGATACAAAACATTGTCTGATCCTTAAGGACAATCGTCGTCTTACTCATGCTAAAATTAGAAGATGGTTAGAATTATCGTTTCATATCATACATCGAGCATTTAAAGTCTAAATAAATACGATTAAAGGAAACAGCAAATTTCAACCCAATACCTTAAATTATTCTATCATAGCATACAACGATATAGAATTAACCATACAAAAATACACAACTATGAACATAGCTAAAGTGTGATGGATGGAAGAATAAACCAAAATGTAGGAAAATGAAAAATGCAAAAAAACATTTTGAATATCTCATTTGATTCACACGTGTTAAAGTGATCTGTATATGACCGGAATGAATTTAAACTACAAATAGCCACTAAATATCTTATTTATTTATCCCAAAATTCATTCAGATGCAATAATGCTTTTCATAATAGACATATAAATAGTACAACACCACATCAACTGCAGGTAGTAAGTACAAACATTTGTTTAATCTTTGGATTATTTGGAGGAAAACAAGGACACCTGGTTAGGTTGGTGATGTTTACCTAAAATTCAAGATAAACTTACACAAATTAACTTTAAATTTTAAATAAAGTATGCAGTTTACATTAATTAATATCAAGTTTTGAGTGCAAAGATGGGATTTAAACATTAAAAACAGATAAAATAGAATTTTGATTAAAATCATAAGTGTTATTATAGGTGATTATAAACTTCTAACTTCAACTTGTAAACGGCGCTTAAGAATACCGAAAGTGCAGTATATAGAAGGGAAGATGTTTTTACTTGAACAAAAAACTTTCCTCTGCACTTTTTTTTCAATCGATATATAAAATATCTCTTCAAAATTCAATTGTCCCGATGTAAATTAATGGAAAATAGATCTTTTATACCAGACCACTGCAGTTGACACACACTTTAGAGGTATAAGTAAAATGAGATATATCATACACCAATAACATCAAATACATGAAAGAAAATCCTTACATGAAAATAAACTTTTCATTAGCCCTACAACTTCGTATTTAATTTTGTCTACCAACTGCTTTATTCGAGCGCAGATGATGAGTCTTATGTAGACGAAATGCACGTCTGGTGTACAAAATATTAAACCTGGTACATGTATATATGATGAGTTTTTCCATCTAGATCAAGAAGTCAGTTGACGACTCTCCCATACAAGGGTATTAAGATAGGATGATAAGGCAACGAATGAGATAAGAACTTCACAGATTCTTGTATCAATAAAGTTATATTTCCGCTGTCACCAGATTGCCTGAGCCTACAAGGGCGATGCCAGGGAGAGAGAGGATACTAGAGCGCCTGGTTCCCCTTTGTGTCCGATTTTTGTATGGATTTTTTTGATAAATTCTTCTGATTTTTTAACGCCATCTACGCCCTATCTTTCCAATGGGACCCTCTGCAACCACACCCTATCCAAAATCACGATATTTATAATGTTTTTAATAAGTTTAACCTTTCTAAAATGGTACGGAGTGCTTTGCAGTATCATTAATTAACTTGCAGCAGTAATTGTTGATCGGGTCAAGCATACCCATACTGTATTTTTCTTCCTCATCTTCCGTATGTAATATCTTCTCCTGTTTGGGAAATATCCCCACTTCTATATCTCGTTCTAGCCAGCAGAACCTTTGCCACATCACAATGCAACCAATCAGAACCGATATTTGTTAAGTTTTAATTTCAAGATGGCTTGGAAATAGCTTCGCACCGTGATGCGAAGCAATCAATAACCGAACGTGAAATGTGAATTATAATTCCAGCTCTAAATCGCCCGGTGTCTAAAGAGTTTCCGACTTTTAACAGTACGTTTTAATCATATGCTACAGGGATTTTTTTTTATATAATTTTGATAATACTTTTCGATATCTTTTCCATCCGAAAACCACTTATGGTACATTAGACAAACCACATACATTGAAGGTTTTGAATATTGGCTATGCTAGAAGGACATCAATGGTATTATACGAAAAAAATAGCATTATTTTATTCTATAGAAACTGCACTGATTCGGCATGGCAGACATTATACAAAGAACAAAAGAAAACACAGTTCACTTGCCTATAGGAAAATACACTTTGCGAACGAGTTCCATTTACCTTAGTTTTGGTTTCAATAGAATATTAACTATTTAAGAAACCTTTTTGTAAATATTCTAAAAACATATGACATTTTCATAACGTAATTAGTTTCAAAACAGCTATAAAGTGTTTCTTTCACATTCTTTACAATGTCTCAGGAGACCAACATGTTCGTAAAAGACAGAGTATTGATTTACCAAGATACAAAAAAGCCTCTTTAAGACATTATCACGTTTGTCTTTTATTTTGACTTGTAGATAAACTACTGTCGGCAACCCTTGACTACAAGAGACAGACATATTTAGATGTACTTTGTTATGTTGCTGTCTCATTGACGTGAACCCAACCACGAAAATAGGCAATTCAGCTATTGTTTCACAATGTAACGACACAAGTTTTAACAAAAACATTTAGAACTGCATTCACATTTCTTATTTCTAACTAAGACAATTTAATCACATTTTCTATTGGAAGTTTTTTTAAAAATTTGTTTATAGTTTTTTTTGTTCACCATTCGACTTTTCAATACACGATTACGAAGACCGTCAACATTATGTGATTACAAGTCCAATAACTTAACGACTATTTTCAATTTGAAATATAAATTTAAAAAGCATCAGTGCAGGCAATTTTTGAAAATTAAGAATGCACAAGTAGAACTTTTAAATGATCACAAAAACAATTATGATTAGATAAATAAAAAAAATGAGATAATTGTCAATTTGCAGTATCAAATAACCTCCACAAGGGGCCTCACTTTTGGATGAATGGAATGAACTGGAATAGTACTTTTACAAGCGCATTAATTTACAAATATTACCACAAAGAAGATCAATTCAGATAAGAAAGCATTTTACAATTGTTTGGAATGAGATGTCGTTTTTATGTATCAACTGCTATACATCTCAATATAATGAAGTGTATGTATATAACCATATCAAACGAAACGAACTTATGTCAGATTTGATAAATTGAGTTTGGACAGTTCGTTACATATCATTTTCCTGAGCCTTGTGGTACAAATAATAAGATAAAACCCATCGAAGTGGTTATTATTCATTATATTCATTTGCTTTCACAGCGAAACAAATAAGATAGCATTCCGCAACAACAAATCCTTATCATATATCATCAGATGGATTTATTTTATTTTATTTATTTGTGTAAATGTGATTGCATCATGAGGTCATTAATCTTCAGATTATACAGTGGTAATGGACCATTTCCTTCTCTGTGAAACAATATCAGATATTTTTTGTTTCCCTTCAGCTATCTTTTGTATTAAAAGCATGATTGTTGTTATGAAAACTGCATACCGAAGCCATTGAAGAAGCATCATAGTTTACCAGTATCTAGTTATTTGATAGGACTATGATTCTTCTCTTTTATTATGTAACTTGCTTGAGTCAAATTGCAAGCATAGAATTTAAAGAATAACCATTACTTTTCTAAAATTCTGACTCAAACTTTAAATTTTTCAGATCTTTAACCACAGACCGAAATTCAGTTGAGAAACAAGAGGGGATCCGAAATGACTGACATTGTAAACACAACTGTAACCAGTTATCTCTACCCAAGTAAAACGACGGATGGTTTATTAATCCATAGAAACCATATTTTCCTAGACAACAACATAACGAACTCTCATGCTTTTACAAATTTCAGCCAAAACGATACCAGCATAAAGCCACTGAGTAGAAACGAGGAACTTGCCAAAATAGAGATTTCAACTTTGGCAGTTCTGTTATATTTTTCATTATTTGGAAACACAGTCGTACTTTTCGTATTAAAGTTCAAATGCAATACTTTAACAAGAATGCAATGGTTCATTTTTCATTTGTGTATAGCTGACCTTTCAATGGGATTCTTTAACCTATTACCACAAATGGCATGGGACATAACCTATCGTTTCCAAGGAAACGATTTCCTTTGTAAATTTGTTAAATATTTTCAAGTCGTTGCCATGTATGCCTCTTCGTATGTTTTAGTGACGACAGCCATTGATAGATACGTTTCTATTTGTTACCCGATCACAAGCCAAACTTGGACAAATAAACGTATTCATTGTATGATATCACTGGCTTGGATTATGTCTCTGTTATGCGCAGTTCCACAGTTGGTTTTATTTTCGTATCAGGAAACTGAGCCCGGAAGTGACGTGTACGATTGCTGGGAGAACCTTAGTACTGGACCTATATGGAAGCTGCAGATTTATGTCACGTGGATATTTGTGTCTATTTACTTTGTTCCATTCTGTATATTAACAGCTGCCTATTCAAGAATATGTTACGTTGTGTGGATCAGTGTGGGATCTAGCTCTAACCTTCCCGATACAAAACGATATCCCAGAAAAATATCCTTCAATAAAACATACTCCGTTCGTGATTCGAACGCTGAAAATGCTATTAATAAACCACGAGTCCATCGAAAAGCCGTATCTAATTCCAAGCTTAAGACCATCAAGCTGACACTTGCTGTTATACTCTGTTACCTGTTTTGTTGGGGACCATTCTTTATTGCACAGATGTGGTCAGCTTATGATTTCAACGCACCATTTACTCGTAAGTTTATTAACAAATAGTTACTTTTTTTTCCTTCAGTGGCATACGAATCAGCCTTCCACTCTTTAAATGCACAAAATAAAAAAAAAATAAAAAATGAAGTTTTATTACACATTTGTGTCGTCAGTTTATTTTCTACTTATGAGTTTGAATGTCCCTTTGGTATCTTTCGCCTCCTTTGAGTACACATCAAAGTGTATTTTGGTAGGAGACATGAACATTTTGGAAATAAAGTTGCTGGCCTAATAAGAATGAAAATAAATAATCTTGCAAAAGAAGGATGAAAATGACTATTCTGCCCCGCAAACATTGACTAAATGCAGGATACAATTGTGTACAAAATTCAAAACAAATAAGCATGTCAAGCAACAGATGTTCATGAATATTCCGTCCGCGAAAATTCCTCTTGCCTCCTCGCACCGAATCAAGTTGCAGTCCCCTAATTCAAGTCGTTTAGCATTATTTTGCATAAATAAAACATGACTTTGTTTTTCTAAAGGACGAGAGTTATTACGGATCTCTTCTGGCCAAAATTTTTAGAAAGACTTTGATGCATTTGTTAACAAAAAATAGTTTGTTCTTATGCTCTGTATAAGCCTCCTTTCTTAGGATATGTAGTATAAACAAGAAGGACATTTAGATCACCGATTCAGTACAGACTAATGTGACTATGTACCTACTCAGTTTCCCCAGCCTGGCTGTTACCGGTCTTAATCGTCACCCAATCACCTGATCCGTTCACCCTAAAAATATAAAACAAGTGCAAAAAAAAAAAAAAAAAAATTAGCACAAAATGCCATGATAATGAACGTGAAACCGGTAAATACAAATTCGGACAAACAATGACACGTATCCCCTACCTAAAGTTTAATGGATAGTTTTTTTTTTGGGTTATAACAAGAACGTGTCCATAGTACACGGATGCCCCACTCGCACTATCATTTTCCATGTTCAGTGGACCGTGAAATTTGGGTCAAAACTCTAATTTGGCATTAAAATTAGAAATATCATACCATAGGGAACATGTGTACTAAGTTTCAAGTTGATTGGACTTCAACTTCATCAAAAACTACCTTGACCAAATACTTTAACCTGAAGCGAGACAGACGGACGGACGAACGAACGGACTCACAGACCGAAAAACATAATGCCCCCAGGCCTCTACAATAACATTTTTTTCAACTTGCCCAATAGGACAAGTACATACCAAAACTTACTTGTCCGAATGGAATTATAACTTGTCCAAAAATAAACCTTTATATTAACCTTTTTTTGCATTTTAGGTTGATTCAATGAACAAAATGAATTAAAACAATAGAACAGAATTTGATTTATATCTCTTGATATCCTTTTTCAAAAATATGAATCCAGAAAAACTGAATCTAGTCAAGTCTAGTCACAGGACTTCGGTTCTATTTTTCATCAATGCCAAAGTCTCATCAGACTCTGCACATCAGGCACAGTCTGTTAGGCCTGTCAGTCTACACTCATTTGGTGTGTATCCTGGTCTTTTGAGTTGATAAAATATTGATTATTATGATTAATGCCTTACTACAATCAGTTTTGTTTTTAATATATTAAAATGTTTATTCAAACACAATCAAATATTGTTTTGTCTAAATATGATCAAATATGATTTTATAAATTTTATGATCAAAAAATTTATCATATATTTATTATAAAGCAACAGAATAAGTAGGAAAACGAGGTATTGGTTTGTCTTGGTCCCGAAATGTCTCCAACCGTGCCGAACTGTCTATTAAACATTGAGCCGATTCGTTTCCGTGACGGTGCCCAACTGTCTTGTTGCCTTATCTACAAAGCAACATTCGGTAAGACGGGTTTCCGAGAATAGTATGCGTTTTATCTGTTATAAAGTATCTGACAAAGAACCAGTTTTAAATTATCGGTCGCAGGTAAACATGTCAAACAAATATCTTCTTTTCTTGTATTTTTTTTATTACTTTGATCAATGTTGATCATCAAAGTTGGATTTAATTTATTTTCAAACAGAATGATTTTTACTTGTCCCATCGGACAAACTTGATATGACTTTTACTTGTCCGACCCTTTTTTCCTCTGGTACCGGACAATCGGACAAGCGTTATTGTCGAGCCCTGGCCCCTAGGTGGGGCATAAAAATGTCAATTATCAAGGAAAAAGACAAATTTGGATAAAGGAATGAAATATTTCGGTAAAATTAGTTAAAAGTGCAACCTCAGACCATCCAATTTTGTCTACCAAACTATAAATTCTTTTGAGATATTTGGATTGCTGAAAGTTCCACAGCGTAAATAAATGTAAAAATTGTGCTAGGTTCAGTTACACAGTTATGCTGTTTTCCGTCGATTTGTAAAGATTTGGAGGTCATACTGGCTTTTTATGTGTAAGGCTTACACAATATATGAAATATCATTTATTATACTCGATAAATATGTTTATGTATCATTTAAATATATACACAATTATGGGTCGACTAAATTTCTTATAAGGACTCTCCTGTTTAAAGTAACAAAATGTTTATACTTTTTTAGTTTAGTTTAACCAATATTTATTCAGATAGATCCTCACATAAAGATATAATACAATTGAAATAAATATTTAGGATTCAGAAACAAGCACAATTGCTTTTACAAATCTGTCTCCTTTTACACAAATAATACATTTATTGAAAAATACATAAATATAAATACTGGCATGCTCTATAATAAATATATAAATATGAAAATGAACTTTGGTAATGTATGCAGTGTGATATGCTTGGGTTCTTATTGGATGATGAAGCAGTAACATCAAGGGTTAAAACGTTTGGTTTTGATAATGTATTTCTGCACCAAACTAAATAAATGACTATTTTGCTCATGTGAGAGTACCGTTGATCCAATAAGCAAACTTTTTGTGTCACGAGTCAACTTAGACATGAAGAACTGAAACAGAAGCTAATAGTTAACGTCTTAAATCGGTGTATGTGGGACAAGATAACAGGAAGTGAGAATTTGTTTCTACATCACCACAACGACAGTTTGGGGAGTCTACTAAATTACGAAGGAATAGGTGAGATTTCAATGAACTTGCATCCATTCTTAAGCGAGCATGAAGAATTTGACCAAGACGATATCCTACATAGTAGTACATTGGGACCTTACTATTTTGGGTACGAATTTGTTTTTTGAATAACGGTAGTGATTCACATGATCTTATGTTCAAGTTAAGTGTGTTCCATATGCTGGGATAAAGTATTCAGAATATAAACGGGTCCGTGTACTTTTTAACAGATAAAATCAATTTGAATTTAAGATATTAAAAAGATAAAGTAAAAATAAAATCCGTAGTAGTATTTACAGTTATTATCATTACATAACCTCTTCATAAAAAGTTTACTTTTGAAAGACCAGTAACAACCAATAAAATTTCCTTTGGGAACACACGAGATCTCCCCGGTTTTTATTGGCATTCATGAGATCTTTTAAATACACATTGTGTTTTATTTGTTCTTCTGTGGATTAATTTGACCATAAAATAGCGTACATGCTTGTTATATGAAAATTTGAATAAATACATTAGAGACCTATTTAAGAGGGACGAAAGATACCAGAGGGACAGTCAAACTCATAGATCGAAAACAAACTGACAACGCCATGGCCAAAAAAAAAAAAGAAAAACAGACAAATAATAGTACAGATGACACAACATAGAAAACTAAAGACTAAGCAACACGAACCCTACCAAAAACTGGGGGTGATCTCAGGTGCTCCGGAAGGGTAAGCAGATCCTGCTCCACATGTGGCACCCGTCGTGTTGCTTATGTTATTACAAATCCGGTAAATAGTCTAATTCGGTAGGTCACATTCGTGAAAAGGGAAGGGTATTGTAGTTACGACATAAGGAACATATCCGATATCATCTGTGAAACGGCTATTCCATAACGGTCAACCAACTCGTGATGGCGTCCGTAAAATTTACGAAGGGATGATTTCAACTTCACCATTTGGAACTCTTGGTTTAATAGCTTCCTTGTGAGCAGCAATCCTCTATCAAGGAAATCATGATAGGAAAAACAAGCCCGGGAATATCGTATCAATTGGGAGATATATACTCCGTATGCAGGCGCTGCTGGAATGTTGCTACATAGAAATGGAAAGTTCACAATTGGGAGCTGAAATCATCTCTTTTATCGTAAAGTTTTGTTTTCAACCGACCCTTATTGTCAATTTCTAGATGTAAGTCAAGATATGAGGCAGACTTAACTGTTACTGTAATATCCTTTATCTCTAGTTCGATGGGATAGATTCGTTCAACATAGTCACCAAGTTTTGTATTATTTAGTGAGAGAACATCATCTATATAACGGAACGTAAAGTTAAAGGATATTGATAACTTCTTATCTTTCTTCCTAAGAAGTTCCTGTATGAAGTCAGCCTCATAATAATAAAGAAACAAGTCGGCAAGAAGAGGGGCACAATTGGTTCCCATTGGAATTCCGACAGTCTGTTGAAAAACACGTCCTCCAAACGTAACAAATATGTTGTCAATCAAGAAATCAAGCATCTTGATAATGTCAGTTTCAGAGAATTTTTTGTTTGAATCAGAGTGATTCTTTACAAAGTAGGATTTATCCCTCCCCAAGACAAGATACTTGGAGTTACGTTCGCCATTCTTTTTAATGAAACAAAGTAATACCAACTCTTTCAATTTGTCTTTTAGTTTGGAATGGGGAATACTTGTGTAAAGTGTAGAAAAGTTAAATGTTTTAATACAATGGCAAGATGAGAGAGTCTTAGATTGTGTGTACTCTAAAAGATCTTTGGAATTTTTTAGTATCCACATCTGATTCACGCCACCTCTAGAATAGGCAGTTTCACAATAACTATGGAGCCCGGCTTTGATTGCTGATAAAAGATTACTTTTTCAAATATTCTTAGAGTTGATCCCAAATAGAAGACATATCCGGCGCATGCGCCTTCTCATTATCTCATTCAGTTCATGTCTTCGGAGGAAGA